GGACTGTGAGTTAAGCCTCCTGATGGGAATCTGAAGTAAGATAAAGGTGGTACTATTGTCTAATCATCTCAGGTTTAAGGAGAAGTAGAGAATGCTGGGAGGAGGCCATAGTCCACAGACTCATTTGCATACTCTCCCCCTCCCGTGAGAGACTGGGCTGTTAATGCTAATGGCTCAAACAGTCAGCAGAGTGCTTTACTTACAGTATGCAGAGGGGCCACCCAGGTGCTGAGGGCATGCATACCTGACACCTCAGGCTACAAGCTGGCTATGAAGATAAGGAAAGAGGCAAACCCTACCAGGCAAGGTAGTGTTTCTTTTTCCATACACAAATGACTCAGCTGTGATAACTCCCCTCGGGGGAAGACGGAGACATTCACGTGGCCTAAAGGCATTCATCTCTGCTGATGAGCCATAATGGACTCAACTTCACCGACGTAATAGGCAGCTGTAATGACTTAGACCATCACAGAGCCCCAAAGTATCCCATGATTCACAGTATTACATCATCCAGTGTAAAACTCCACCTCCCAGGGGAGGTACTAGGCATTCCCACCTGAACCTGAGCGAATATAACTGATGAAATCTTTGAGGTTTGTGGACTTCCCCTGGCTTACCCTCACCTGTGGCGTATTGTGACACCAATATAAACCATTCTATGGTTCTATGATTAGTGAACATCCTGTTAGTTGCAAGTGTAAGGGTGACTAAAATGTGTAGGTTGATCATAACTCTTCTCAATACAAGATACATCCCCAGATGGGACTGGGAGGTCCAGGAGTGGAATTCCACCATCCAGTCCATGGACTCTCTGGTGCAAAGTAGCTTCTTCTGCAACCACCATTGTGGAGCCTTCAGGACAGAGGATTCTGCTATAGGTGGCAAATACTCATCTCATACTGAGTGGCATGTAGTAGGACTGCTGCCAGTGTATCAAGAAAGGCATTTATGAGAGAGCATCTGCCAGCTCCCAGTAAAGATTCGAATACTGTAGGAACTGGGAGGTCGGACTAGGTGACCTCTAGTGGTCCCTTCCAACCTTACTCATTCAGTGATTCTGTGACCACCTCACCCAGAATAAAAATACCACCAGCATTTTGGCTCTTTGAAAGGCAATGTCTCTTTGTTCCAAGGCTTTCTTCTGATACACTTAGCTCTAATTTGCATGGGAAATGCTCAGGGGCTGAATTTCTTCCAGACTCTCCCCTCTTGCTGTGATGTTGTACCTCCAGGGCGCACACTGTACACAGCTTTGCAGGCTGCTGTGCCTTCTGTTGGATCGCTTCCTTGATCCCTTGACTGGTTCTTGTTCCTTGCTCTGACACCATGCAGGCTGGTTTGTGTGTTATCCTTGTAGTTGTGGGGGTTTCTCACCCACATGATGCTGAAAGAGCCCACACTGAGGTGGTGCCTGGCCTTTGTGAAGCCAAAGCTTTTGAAAAGCTCATCTACCTCTGCAGTCTTTCCATTTTCCCATGTACACGTTTCTGTTACATCTTACACATTTGGCTAGATACGTTTTGCAAGACTGCAAAGTCACTGCTAAGTCACAGCAGCTCTGCCCACCCCACTGCCTTCTCAATCACGCTTTTGTGGTAGACAAGGCACTATTCATCTTACACTTAATTTCACACATCCAAGCCACATCTGTGCTTTGTAGTGAAAGAGCACTTAGGGCATGTCCCTAAGCACTGTTCCACAAGCAGCTGTATTGACTGTTTTTGTATTAGACTACTAAGCTTGCCCAAGACAGAAAATGCATATGGAACAGAATGGTTGATGTCCACACTATTAAATCCTCCTACCCTCCAAAAAAAAAAAAAAAGTAGTTCTATGTAAACAGGGAATGGCCACAGGTTTGTGCTAACAGATCTTGTGTCTAAGGATTATTTGGGACACTGTTACTTGGCATGGATGAAAACTGTGCTATCAGCCTTTTAAAAATTTTAACATAAGGGTGATTAAGTTCCATGAGTATTCCTTAGCTTTGTTTAAATTACAAGTATAGATGGAGTCAGCATCACACTGTTTGTGTCATTCCTGGCAGTTTTTGTATGTAACAACTAGCCCTCTCTTGAACAACACATAGGCATGTTTTGGATGATGGTATGCCCCAGGACCATTCCTAGTAGGTGGCTGGGACATGGCCAGGTCTTTCTAAATTAAGATTCATCCAGGGCACTTCAGGTATCTTCCTCAGAATAAGTCCTCCCAGACTAGAAATGAAGATCTTGTTAAATATGTATTAACAAAGACATATAAAAGCCTGCAAAACACAGAGATGGAAGTAGGGATCAATTTTTTACTATCTTCTCCAGTGCAAGAAAAAGAAAGCTAGCAAATAGCGAGTTCAAAAGAAACAAAAGGAGGCCCAGGATAGAAGAGAACATAGAATAATACCATTCCTCGGTTCCACAGATTAAAATGAGCTAGGACAGGCTGACCGGCTGCTTAATTAAAAAGCAAGGAAGGATTAAGGTGCAACAAACGATTTTTGAATACAGAGTTTAAATTCTAGAAAAAAGAAGAGAAATTTCAGAACAATTGTTTGGTTGTGGGTTTTTTGCCTATTAATTGGTACCTGGTGTTCTTTGGTACCTCAGCTTGGCATAAAAGAGGTTTTCTTTTTCCTGAAAAACTTTAGGAGCCATAATCTCAGACCACCATTCCCCTTATTTATGCACCCACATCTATTAATAAACACAGGAGTTGAGCCAGGGCTATATGGCAGTGACAGGCAGAAGTAGACTGTAAACATGACAGGTATAGCTGTTGGTCTCGCATGCAGCAGCTCATGAAGAAACACAGCAACGAAACACAGTTAGAAGGTTTTTTGTTAATGCTTAACCCCAAAATGTCCTCCAGCCTTTCCAGTGGGTAATCCTTAATGAGCATGGTGCATTGTTTAATTGACAATAAACAATTTCTTTCTGTCTTTATTTTTATGCCTTTGACTGCTTATTCACTGAAGGATTGTTCTACTACTCTACCTTTGTTCTGGAAAGGAAAAACAATTCCTTACACTTTCCTTAATGAATATGTTTCTTACTAGCTTTTTTTTTTCAGGATTCCCTCAAGTAGGTGTATTTCTTTATGGTTAAATGTCAAAATAAGCAAAGTACTCCAGCAGAGGTTTCAGCACTATTGATTACAGCTTCATAATTACTTTCTACAACCCCCATATGTTTTCACTGAGGTGCTCTACTAGAAAGATACCGTTCTTTTGGGTGGCTTTTTTTTTCATTAGTACCATTAGTCCCATGCAGCAGTCTCATGTGACTTTTGGGATCCACTGTAATTTCCCAACATTTGTCTAATCATAAAGTCATTTAGGTTATAAAAGACCTTTAGGATCATCAAGTCCAACTGTTAGCCCAGCACCACCAAGTCCACCACTAAACTCAATGCCACATCTACACATCTTTTCAGTACTTCCAGGGATAGTAAGTCCACCATTTCCTTGAACAGCCTGTTCAATGCTTGGAAGCTCTTTTGGTGAAGAAATTTTTCTTAATATGCGATCTAAACCTCCCCAGTAAAATTGAATTGGTTTCTCAGCCAACTGTTCTCCACTGCTTATTTGGGTTTCTTTCCTAAACTATCACTCTTCTTCTTTCTAAAATTCCACTTTATTTTGGACATTTTCTTCAGGATCCATGTTCAGATGCTGTCTCATCCTGCAGCACACTGGAAACTTTTCCCATAGTGGTCTCACCATGGACCTTATGAATGGTAATGGAAATGGGATCTAGCCAAGCCTGGCGCAGACCCCGTGCTGTTCTCCTTTTGACATCCAGAGCTCTTTTGGGCTGTTTGCCCCAGTTTTGGGTACAACCATGGCAATTTCATCAACAGTGTATTTCCTTGGTTGAGGGCATCGTGCTTCATGGGTGGCAATGTCAGAAGGCTAATCCAAGTCCACCGGTGTTCACCACTATTGAATCCTGGGCTTCATGAAAAGCAGTGTTACTAGCAGGTCGAAGGGGGTGATTCTTCCCCTCTACTCTGCTCTTGTGAGACCCCACCTGGAGTAGCAACCAGTTCTGGTGTCCCCAACATGAGAAGGACATGGAACTACTGAAGTGAGTCCAGAGCAGGACCACAAAGTTAATAAAAGGACTGGAGCAGCTCCCCTATGAAGACAGATTGAGAAAGTCATGTCTGTTCAGCCTGGAGAAGGTTGTGTGGAGACTTCATAGCAACCTTACACTATTTAAAGGGGGCCTACAGGGAAGCTGGAGAGGGTCTCTGTCAGGAACTGTAGGGACAGGACAAGGAGTAATAGGTACAAATTGAAAAAGGAGAAATTTAGGTTGGAAGTTAGGAAGAAATTTATTACTGTGAGGGTGGTGAGACACTGGAACAAGTTGCCGAGGGAGGCTGTGGATGCCCCAGCCCTGAAAGTGTTCAACGCAAGGTTGAGTAAGGCCTGGAGCAACCTGGTGTAGTGGGAACTGTCTTTGCTCATGGCAGGGCAGGTTGTGACTAAACGACTTTTAAGGTCCATTCCAACCCCTTAACATTCTGTGATTATCTACTGCATCCATTTCACCATGGCATCACTTGCTCAGCCATGTTCAGCAGAATCCATCAGTTGTCAGTGCATGGTGCGCGGTACAGCTGCAGAGATGATTCGCTCCAGCCCAGCCCCTCAATTCTCACTCCCTGGGAGTCTGAGGGACAAAAAAACCCCGAGTAGGTTCTCAGTTCATGCCGAACTAAGGCACGAACTGCTCGCATGTGAAGAACAAGCCCCTTGCCCCAGGGAGGTGACCTCCTCCTTGTCCCTTGGCCACGCGTGGCCACGACCAACCGCGCGGTTCTCCAGTCATGCGCTCCCAGCTGTCCTGTGGGCAATGCGCTGTCCCCGGGGGCTGCCGATCCTCCCGGGCCCGGCCTCCCCCTCCCTCCCCCCCCTCCATCACACCCGATGCTGCCCCCGGCCCGGCCCGGCCCAGCGCAGCGCCGGAAGAGCCGTGGCGCGCGGCCGCATCCATTGGTGCGGGGAGCGGGGCGGGCCCTCTCTGAAGATCTAAAGCGGTGGCGGGGAGCGGGGGACGCCGTTCAGTCGCCTCGCCTGTCGCCCGAGCCCGCCGGCGCCGGGCTGCCCCTCGCTCGGCACGGGTGAGTGCAGGGCCAGGCCGGAGCCGGGGCCGGCCGGGCTGCGGCGGCGGCCCCACGCGGTGCGTCCATTTTGCATGATGCAACCGGGGTGGCGCGGAACGGGTGGGCTGCCTCCCCGCCCGCCAGCACTGCCGTCCCTCCGCGCTCTCCCGCGGCAGGTCCCTCCCTGAGCGCTCCCTTCCCCTCCTCTGTCCCCCACCCCGGGCTGGCGGAGCCCATCTGCCGAGGGCGGGATCCCCCACAATGCCGGCGGGAAGGGCCTTTGCTTGGTGAGGGGATGGGACCTGCCACCATCGGCAGTTCTCCCGCGAAGGTTGGCGTCGCCGTCTCCGGCCAGGATGCAGCGGGCCAGGGCAGAGTTGGAAAGCTCAGATCTGTGCGTGCGTGTTCCCCAGCTAATCTCTTTTCTTGCTTATATTCCCTCTGCGATGCGAGGAGCGCCATAGGGAACATGCAGTGATGGAGATGAAGGCCCAGGTATCAAGGAGAAACCCTGGGCCATGTCCCTGATGGCCTTTCCATGCCCAGGGTAGCTCCCGAGGGACTGCCGTCTTGTGTTTTGCTTCCTTTTTCAAATTTAAAAAGAGACTAAGAATTTACCAAAAATGCTGGTATCATCCATAGCTCTGGAGCCAGCCTCGTACCCTGTGAGTTGCCAAAGTCTGCTGCTCCTGAGCCTGCTCCTGTGACCAGGACAGGGGCTTGTCTCCGTTTGGTTTGTCAGTATTTTGCAGGCAGCTGTCCTGACTGTCTCTTCTTTTTTGTGTATGTATGTGTAAATGTTTGTGGCAGATGGGGTATAGCCAGAGCAGGGGGAACCGACTGAAAAACCTTAAGAGGAAATTCGTATATAACTAAAGGTGGACCAAAAGTTTGGGACTACAAACAAAATTGCTACTTAGTTGTGTTGTCAGCTGCTAGAAGCCTTGGATTTAGAGCAGGGTGGTGTTTTTGTAGGTGGTGCACAAACTCATGACAGAAAGGTTTGCAGCTCTGTAGAGTGTCCAAGCTGCAGATCTGGGTAGAAGAGCTGAGGTGATCATGGTGCTGCAGCTTTATGAGTTAGCTGGCTCGTAGCTAAGTGGTTTTGTCACTTGTGTGTGGTCATTTGCAAGTGTTACCTTTGTGCTTGAGCAACAACTTCATGGTGATGTCGAGCATGAGGTGAACCAGTGGACACCCTACCTTGCCTCCCTCTGCCCACCTCTGCGGACTCTGCAAAGCCAGCAGGGCAAGTGGTGAAGATGTGGTCACACATGTAGGTGTCGTGTGCACCTCTGCAGTGGGACAGCTCTTCAGTCTTGAAGCTATTCACTCGCTCATGCGTGACTGTCTCTGCTGTCTCCAACTTAGAAACAAATACCATGAAGACTTGGGAAAAAAAACAGGCGGAAATTTACCTTTCTGGTCAGATACTCTGTGGACTTCTGTTGCCTTCAGCAGTCAACTGACTTGTTTTTTAGACAAGTTTTCAATATAGTACAAAAGAGGAGGGGCTGTGTAATTACACAGGCTCTGTAGCTATAAGTGCTGACCCTGGCACAAAGAAGGAGCAAACTCATTGCTTGAAAGTTATTTTGCTTTCGGGTATTTTTAGTATCCTGCATTTTGAGTGATCTGACAGGGACAGGTCACATGCATGCTTTAGATTGTCTCATTGGCTTTGAAATAAAGCCTTTTCCTGAGCAGAGGAACTACTGGATGTTTAGTCCCTGATTTATGCCACTTTGCTGGTATTTGTAAAGTCTTGAGCCTTGCTGCTTGTAGGGTTGTGCTTATCAGTGGCACTCCTTGTTTTGAGGCGGCTGTGACAGAAACCTGTGGCCTACTAGGCTTCTAATTCAAGTGGTTAGTTGTGAGCGTGGGTGAAACATGTGATTGCATAAATACAATATGCTCTTGACTCCACGTGGAGCGAGCAGGATTTACTGTACGGAAGCAATTAGCTTAGACAAGAGGAAACTCGTAACTTAAACCAGTTACTGGAGTAACCAGTTCCGAGTAGTATTTTTATTGAAACATGGATCACTCCTTTTTTTTTTTCTTCCTCCTTTTTCCTGTGTAATCTATTGCCAGATTGCAGGCAGTGTTCATCCTCATATGGAGGTGTGCCTGAACTCTGTGTCTCTGCTAAAGGTTGGGTTCAGTGATCTTGCAGTTCTTTTCCGTGATCTTGCAGTTCTTTTCCGGCCTTAACAATTGTATGATTCTGAGACAACATGAGTGAGTGCCAATTTAGCTGGCATTGAGTGCAGCTGATGGCCTAGTGTGTGCAGGAGGGAAAGAGTAAATGAGTGTTGATGGTTATTTAGTCTAAGATGGGAAAGAAGAAAGGGAGAGATATGGTTTGGTGAAGAAGGGCAGAGATCTTGTTGCAATTACTGCTTCTACTACCTTTTGTTCACTCTTGATCTGCCAAGTTCCTCAACCTTGATCCACCATGACAGGTTAATGACACTTTAGTGGCCTTTCAGAAATGTCACTTCAAATTGTATCTCAGCTTTCAGAGAGCAACAAAGTGGTACCTTTAATTCTCTTTTCTTGACCCATATCTGTGATGCTAAAAGCATCTGTGTGGAGTAGGGCAGGAGGAAAAGAGGGTGAGTTACTTTGTCTGCAGTTGTGCCAGGTGAATGCTGGCTTGTTCCTGGTGACTTATGGACTGTGCCGTTGTGGTGCCAAATAGCAGCTAGGGGTGTGACAAGGCCTCTTTGCCTATCCTGAAGGATGAGCTAAGAAGTCCTGCTGATGTAACCATATATGTGGAGAAATAAGTGGTGTTGACAACAGAACGGTGAAGCTGCGTGGTGTGGAGAGCTAGGTGAGTGCTTCTGGGCAGCGTTGGTTGGGCTCAGCTGCAGTCAGTGCTGACCCACAGTTAGTAACCCAGAGGGGATCTTCTATGTGTATCAGTGTTTGGCAGTACCCTAGATTTTTTCTTCATTATCCCTTCATTATCCTTGCAAATCTCTCATGTGCTAAATGGTGTTGAAGGTAGCATTTGTCTGAGCAGATGTAGTCCTCCATGCCCAGGTATTCAGCTCCATCTCCTTTTATGGTTAGCCAGGATGTTCCTGGCATGTGATTCATCTCAGCCCAGTACAGTAAAGCAAATTAGTTGAGACCTGACATGTGCTTTCTGATGACTGTAAAAGGAAGCATAAATGTCTAAGTGTTTATCTCAAACTTGTGAGGTTTTCAGAAGCCTCAGTGACTGGCAGTTTGCAGTAAGAGTGGGTTCGTTTTGGTATTTGAGCACTCCCTCCTTAGTGCAGTTGTTGCAATGTCACTGACTACTAAAACATACCAGGAAAAAAAAAAAGAAAGAGAAAGGCATAGCTGAATCCAATGGTCAAACAAAACATGGGGGCTGTCACTTGCCATATGATGCTCCCACTGGTTGCAGGATTCTTGACAACTGTCTGTGGTTACTGGGCAGTTTGGGGGTGTTGGGGATCAGGAGCTGGGGCTCCCATCTTCTGTTGTGGTTTGTAGAAATCTAGGGATGCTGCTTGCCCTGGCAGCACTAGCTGTAGCTGCCTTCCCTTGATGCTCAGTCAGCACCTGCTACCATTGCCAGGGTCCCTGACTCTGCTGGAGATCACCAAGGTGGTGGAGTCATAAATCCTGTGAATGGTATCTGGTACAGAAGTGCCTTATTTCAGAGTTTCTAAAATAGAATACTGTGAAGTGTTTGGTTCCAGGTATATTTTTCCATTTCTGTTTGGTTTTGTTTCTGTTTGTTTGTTTGTTCTCAAGTAAAAAACTGTTTGGAAAATTTTATTTGGTGTGTTCAGGAGCTGCAGTAACTACTGTAGAAAAAAATGTGCTGCTAGCTTCTTTGCTGAGCAGGATCCTTCATTAAATTTTCCTCTTAATCTTATCTGTTCCTCAGTGCCTTCCATGCCATGTCTTGGCCCCTTTTCTGGGGAATCCATATGATTGCTATATTTACTGAAACACTAAATTTATTAGTCTACTTAGTTTTAGTATTTATTAGTCTACTTAATGATAGTATTCAGCTTTGTATTTTCTTACTCCTCTTTCTCCTGCCTCTTTCTGAGATGAGGAATAACTCTTGGGTTCTCTTTTGCAAGATTACCAGAGAAATATTCCAGCAGGCTTTTCCGAGCTGTAGAGATTTCACAATTCACTTTTGCCTCATTGTTTTCTGCCTCCTTGTAATTTCTTTGTATCTTTCCTTGTAGGTCTTACTGGCCCATTTAATTTTAAAATTACAAGGATAAGGATTTCACTTGTTATATTGGATTTGAGGACTAGCAATTAATTACTATCCTTAGTTACTGAGCAAGCTATGCTTTTATTGAAATTTAGTGCCTATTTCAGTCATCCACTTCTGAAAGTTTATTATAAGCCACTCTAGAGTTTAAAAAAATGAAAATTAACAATGAGCTTTTTGTTTAACTGAGTTTGTCCCTGGTTCTGATTCAGGTAATTTATGTATTCCTGGAACTCATTCTGTTCAAAGAGAAGTGTATGCTATGATTAAGATGGACGTATGTGGGCCTGACTATAAATCATTACCAGATAGTTTAGTATAAGTGAGAAGAACCACAGTGTAGGGCAGATGCACACCATCTCTGGCTGCAGTTGTGCCTACAGAGAAGTTTGCTTCTGGCAGCTGCTCGCTGGCATCCCAGCTGCAGAGGCAATCGCTGCTTCAGTTTTCTGGCTGATACACTTGAGAGAGCTCCCCTCAAATTTGTGTCAGCTCAGGTGAGGCTTGGAAGCACAGGCTGCCTCACTGGTAGGTCTTTGCTAACTTGAGTTAGCAACTAGGTTATAGCTTTGAAGTTTCAGCTGGCAAAGTAAATAGTATGGTGTTTCTCTAGAAAATATTTTTAACTCGGGTTAGCAGTGTTTGAGTGAAGTGATTCAGGGTGCTGTACAGATAGCTCAGTGCACAGAGCATTTACCTCTGCAGCTGGTGCACTTGGAACTGTAAGAAAAGCAGTCTGCACTGGTAAAGGTGCTGCTCTGAATGTTGGCAGTGGACCACATTGGTTCAGTGGTTTGATTAAGCCAAAGGTGAGTTTGCTTTGAGTTTGTGGGGTGTTTGTGGGGTGTGGTTTAGTGCTGCTTTCCATTGCTATAAAAGAAATACCGTGCAAAATCACCTTTTAATTTTATGGGTAAAGCATGCTGAGATCAGGGCTTGGGAGAACTTGCTTCCAAAGGGTCTGCTTCCCCAAATTGCTTACTATGAAATCTGGAGTCAGTAAGCAAAACCAATTCTGAAAAATAAGAAAGGAAGGGATAAAGTACAAGCTTTAAACCATAACAAAATCAGTTCACTGTTAATACTAGTCACAGTTTCATTCAGTCCCAGCTGACGTGGGAGGTTTATTTGGATGTGTATGCAGCAAGAGTAATGGTACTGTACAAGAAATTACTGTGATTTGATAAATGAACTGTTTCATTAAGCTGAAGAAGAGCTTGCTTTTGTCAGGTGAAAATTCTTGAACTAAACTGGTTGGAAAAAATGCGTTGAGTTTGTAGAATTATGTTGTTTTATTGAAGTGACTCTTTTATAATGCAGTTTCAGCTAGCAAAGTAAATAAGGTGTTGTATCTTTAGAAAATATTCCAGAGGGGATTAGTTGGCTCAGGTAACTAGAATATAGTCTTTCATCCTTAGGTTGCTGATTAAACTCTCCTTGGGGTTGCACACTGCCTGACAGCTGTTTGATGACCTGTGTGAAATCATTCTCAAGCAAAGGATGCTGCTGCATGCTGCTTTATTTTTCTTCCCTCCAAAAAGTTCACAAAACAGGGTGACCTGTATACATGTGAAGATTTTTATTCTTTGTCTCACGTTGCAGGGACAGTCTGTGCATCAGGCTGGTTTGTGTGCTTATAACTTCCAAAAGCTGAGAGCACTGAGAAAAATACAGCACTTGGCTGATACAGGTTTGCAGCGCAAAGGTGCTGTACTGTTGTATATCTGTCTATGCTGACTCCAGGTGCATTAGGCTGTGCAATCAGCTGGAAGAAAGGAGCAAAATGTTCTCGTGTTCTCAGTGAGAAGGCGGCACAACACCCAGAAGTCATCAGCTGGATGATGGATCAGGGTGGAGGTGCTACATCTTGGAGGAGAAATACAATAGGTGTTTGTTGGGATTTTGGAAGTGAGAATTTCTGTGAGATTGGAGCGGAAATTTGGCCTCTAGCAGCTTTTCAGTTCAGGAAAGGTACCAACACAAGCAATAGAGTGAAAAATGTAACAACTAAGTAACTGGAGAAGAAGAGAAGCAAAATATTTATGCTTTGCTCTGAAGGGTCTAGGATCAGTGCTTGGACAGTCCTGAAATGCAAAGTTTTGTCCAGAAAGCACTCTTATTTTTGAGTAACACAAGTGTAAGGAAGAGTTGTTGCTCTTGTGAAAGAAGTACACGTCTGAATTGCTAAAGTTTGAAAGACAATTCAGAGAGTTCACATCTTTTTATTAACCGTCCACAGAAAGAGTAGTTGAAATTTGTTGAGGTGTTTTTGCTTCAGCTGGCCTTAGGTATGGTCCTGCCTTCTCTCTCAAGCATCAGTCTGGTGAAGTTTTTGTAGATATCTGCTAGAGCCCTGCAGTAGCTAGGGAAAGCAGGTGACTCTGGAGGGCCATAGCTCCCATCTCTCATTCAAAGAGATAAGTTTATACCTGGAAGTGCCTGTCTTTGCCAGCTGGTTACAGAGGGGGATGAGGTGATACCCTAAGTCCAAATGTCTGCTTTGGAGTGGGCTGAAGCTGGTCAGGAGGAATCCTACCCCTCATAACCTGGTTGGCATGTGAAGAAATACAAGGATGTCCCCCAAAGAAACTTGTGTAAGTAATGAAGCCACTCTGATGTGCTTTGGCTGCTCCAAATAAACCATCACAGATGTTAGAGTACTTTTGAACCTGTTTTTTCCTTTGAAGGAAATACCTAGAGAGCAGAACAGCACGGGGCAGGGCACCATCAAAAGCACAACAGCAGCTCCTTGCTTTTCATGCTCCTGTTCAGACTCTTGGGGGGGAAATGCTATTTATCATTTGTTTCACATATTTTGTTTTAAAACCACCTATTTTCCTTTGCAAGTCCCAGCACAGTGGAGCTAATCAGAATATTTACAGCCAGTAGTTTGTTTCCTTCTTGCCGTCAGTTAAAATGCCTAGCAGCAGCAGAACTTATTATACTTCAAAGTTTCTTGTTCTAGGTAAGTGACATGGGGAGAGATGACACTGTGTACGTGTTCTGAGAGATGTTGCATTATACATTTCGACATACTTCTCTGAGACTGTCATATTTAGGTCTCTCTGTGTACTCCCATAAATATAATTAGGAGCGATTTCCTTTGATGCCAGAATGATGGTGTGGAAAAATATAATAATGTTTTGAAAAAGTTTAGCAGACTGGATGATATTAGTAATTTTTCTCCCAATAAAAAGTGCGTACTTACTCCAAATACTGTAATTTGCCGATAGGGACACAATTATTTTTAAGTATAGCAATATAGCTTCTCTTGACAGGGCTATGTGCTGGATGGCTTCTCATATCTCTGTCACTGGGCTCTGGGTGCAGGTTTTGGGGCAGACCAGGCTTCTGCATGAAGGGCAGGGAGGTGCAAGTGGCAATTCCAGTAAATTCAGAAATGTGAGTGAGATTTTAGCCTACCAATCGGGCAAGTACTAGGCTGATGGGGTTAAATAAAAAGTAGATGTCAAATCTGGTTTTTTTGCTCACGGGAGTAATCTCGTCTGTAAATTGACTTGTGCTTCCCAGGGAACCAGAACAAGCTCTCTTCATGGAGAAATGTGGGTTGCGAGAGCTGGCTTTCTACCACACAGACAGCACAATAAAGTGTAAGGCTGACTACAAGGTAATGCCTCTCCTTGTGCAAAATAGGGCTGAGTCTGCACTGTATTTTGCAGCAGCCTGATGGCTAGGCTTAGGCCAAACCTGCCAACTTTTTGCATTTCTTACTTCCTGGTATCTTTGCATCATCCCTGCTCTCACTGCTCCTTCAGCTCTCACATCCATGAGCTTTCTGCCCAATTCCCTCTTTGGGCTGGCCAGTGTGGAGCCCTGTGTTGAGGGGCTGCAGGATCCCTCTGCATGGCATTGGCACCGGTGAGACCTGAAACATGTGGCTTGTGGTCTGGCTCACAGTTTGGCTGGTCAGTGTCATCCTTGCTTTTTTGGTGGGGGAACCCCAAACCCCCACAAACTTCAGCAAGTCTTGATTTGATCCCAGACAGGAGTGGGAAGCCTTTTATCGTGCTTTTGATAAAAGTTCTGAGAGAAATATGAAAAACGCTGTGCCTCGGACACCTCTTTTCTCCAGCCCTTCCCTGTCAGCAGCCTTGCAGCCTTGAGCATTTGGGTTAGGTGGAGGCAGAACTCTCCCTAGACAATAGCTCTCCTGTCAGGGAGGAGGAAGTAGCTGAATGGTAAACTCATGGCTAAGAAAAGAATATTTACCCAAAGCAAAAGAACCTCCATGCCTACCTCACTGTAAAATTTAATTGCACGTCAGCGTTTTACCTCTTTTCTGGTAAGATTTATTTAGGTAGAATATATCAAAACTGGTCTCTATCTGTGTGTGCAAACAGGGGTTGGTTACCCCATTGACATACTGATCAAACATCGTGCTTGTATCATTTACTATACTCTACTTATTTTAGACTTAAATGCCTAAAATCGATGCAGTTTTCTAAGGCATTTTTTTGTAAATCCATCAGTTTAGGAGCTGTGAAGTCTTTACCATGATGGGTTGTGGGATTATTGGCAAAACACTTCTGAGACTGTGTTTTCTTCCTCACAGTCAGACTAGTAATCCCATTTTATAAGCCTTCCTTTTTTTTTTTTTTTTTTTTTTTTTACTAGTTGGATGCTCCTGTCCTTCTGAATAAGGGATTTTACTAGTGGTGGAGTGTGGCACTGAGCAACTGTAGAAGACAGGCAGGATTGGGTCAAACACTGAAACATAAGTGGGTGATTCATGGAGCGTGAAGTTCTAACAGCAGGAAAGAGCGTGGGCGAAGCTGCCATGGAAACTGAGTGTAGTGCTTTCAGAAACCCCACAAACTCTGAATCACTGCTACTCCTAAACACTAGTGCATTTTTAGCCACCCTCTCTGCTCTTGATGGTGGGAGAGTAGCTGCCGGGAAAGGGGAGGAAGGTGGGAAGATGATGCAATGTGAGCACCTTGTTGTAAGCCTGATGACAGGTAGCGGTGTTGGCCAGGCTGGGAGAGCCAGGGTGGGCAGTCATGGCTGGGATGGTTTGATCTCAGGCCAGGAGTGTCTGCCCTCCAACCTTGCCGTGGTGAGGGATGGCTGAACAAGCTGTGCTTTGTTGCAGCCTGGGAGGTAAGCTTGGTGTCCGTCATCCCTGCACGTGCTGGCTGCGTTGCTGGAGGGAATGGGGTGGGGGGTGCCAGGTGGCTTTTGTCACCTGCCCTCTCTTTGTCCCTCACACAGACCCATACTTTATCTCCTCTTCTCTACTGCCTTGCACCATCCTCAGCTCCCATTTTTCTGTCGGTGTATGTCTAGACTACATTGATGTGGACATATCCTGTAGTCCTGGCAGCCAGGCTCCATGACTGCCCTGCCCAACCCAATTCCCATCCCAAAACAACAGTCCCCAGTGAGGCATGTGTCATGGACTGGCAGGGAAAGGGGGTTGTTAACCATCAGCAAGTTGCCATATCCCAGCTACACTGGGAGTGTGGCCACACCATTGGTGCTCAGCATGCCCCTCTGCCTTGGATTGGGCTGCCCAAACTGCCTCAGTTAGAGCTTCCTCCTGGCAGAGCTCCTCATGCTATTTCCAGACTGCTGGGGCATCAGTGGCACATCCAAGTCATGCACTGTTTTCTCCTTCAGCAGTGAGTGACCTTGGTTAGTGGGGTATGTCTGGTCAAAGGGCAGTACTAGTTTGATCAGCATTCAGTCATTGCTTTTATTCCAGTGTGCTCAGGCCACTGTCTCTCAGGGAAAGGCCCTTCTGAGGAACTCTCTAGTGGGAGTTACTTGGAAGAACCACCCCTGAAACTGCAGTCCCGCAGCACCCTCTCTGCTGCAGGAGAGTAGGTGGCTGCACATACCAGCCAAGGAGGGTGTGAAGTGCTTGTCTGTGCCTGCAATGATGAACATGTAAGGCTTGGAAGAAGCTGATCCCTCCTCAGCCCTTGAGTTATGGCTGGAATGTGGGAATACTGAGACTAAAAGCAAAAACTTTAGCTCCTTTCACACTAGGCTTCTCTTTCATATGGTGTAAATCATGTTCGCAGAAAGCTTTAGTATTTGATCTGTAGTCATGCAAGTGCCCTCAGAAGGTTATAATATTTTGAATTCATCTGGCATTTTCAATGAGAAATTAATTTTGGCTTCTTCAGAACAGGGAAGTTTTTCTTAATTCTTCCACTATGTTGAGTCACTATCCAAAAGCCACATGAGAGTGCAGGGCTGGCAGTTCTGCCTAGGGCAAGCCCTTCAATAGCCTGCAAATCATTGGAAAAACTCCTAAATTAATAAATGTATTCTAATTACTTTCTAATGACTTTGTTTTGATTGCATAAGCCTAAAGGAATGGTGTGGCATACTTTGATGTTTCATAGAATCTTAGAATGGTTTGGATTGGAAGGGACCTTTGAAGATCCATATAACCCAATCCTGCCATGGATTTACTCAAAGCTCCGTCCATGCTGACTCTGAATACTTAAATTGCATACACAGTTACCAAGGATAGCGAAACCTTTCTCTCCAGATTCCAGAAGCCTGGAATCATCTGGGCATAAGGCAAGGGAGCCCCGTGACTTGGCCACATAGGATTTCTGCTCTCCTTCCTCCCCGAACAAGTGTGTGTGCAGCACAGGCTGAGGTCTCCCTTGTGTGAGCAGTTCCTCTGAGGTCTGTTACTGAGGTCTGTTACAGAGCATTTCCTCTGAAAAAGCTCTTCAAACACTTCCACCTTATGCACAGAAACAATGTTCCTGCTTTCCCAGTAAAGAGATCCTTTATTTCAAGTCGGTATCTGTTATGGGAATGGAGGAAGCTTTTAATTGGAACAGCAGCACAGGTGCAACAGTGCTGGAGTGTGCCTGTTAGAGAAACACTGAACACTGACCTGCAGACATGCTGGTCCATGGGGGTGGCCAAACCCAGGTCCATGGTCCAGCCTGTCACTTGGCAGGATGCTCATGGGTTGCTTGGCAAGGGTGACCAAGGTCTGTTGCTGCCACGTGGCCCTGCCTCCAGCTAGAGCTGCCACTGCTCACTGTAACCTACGTGCTGGCCTCCACCTGCTCCCCACTGCTCAGAGACATAGCAAAATACACTGATTTATACCCATTTTGATTTGCCCCTTGTCTACACCTGAAAATCCCTACGCAGCTCTGCCCTTTGTCCTGGTGAAATGGCGGTGTTTGGAGAAGTCTTTTCCTTCCTTCCATCTGTCAGAGTCATTGGATGTGTCCCATGACTGTGCAGGATAATATTTTTGTTCTATATGAAGGTTGGGGCTCTTAATGTTTTGTTTGTTTCCCCACTATTGTTTTAATAACAGCCAACTTCTGTCTCTGTCTGACTTGCTTCCTCATCCTCTAAGGGACATTCTTCCACCTTTTTCCAAGGACTCTTGTCCAAGAACCACAACTGGAGCATGCTGAATGACACAGCTGAATGACTTCTGGCTAAGCAAAGATTTGTCTTCATTTTATCTGGTTTTAAGGAGAGAGAAACTCACTTATTTGATATTGTTTCCCAGAGCATAAGTTTCTTTCTGCTCGATATGTAGGCTGAGTCCCTGGCAGACTATGGGTCACCTCACTTGAATTCCTGGCAGTCTGTCTCAGGCTCTCGTTTGGGAAGTTTAATTATTGGTGGAGATCCCCTTGGGTTTTATGACAAATTGAGGGAGTTAAATCAAGCAATTTTCTTACAAAGTGTAATTTGAAGTCATGCTGAGGAACTGTTTGAGGAGACTGTTCTAGACCTGGTGGGAGACTTTTCAATTAGACGCTTTTTCATCAGAAAATACTGATTCATGCAGTTGGAGAGGTGTGATGCCCTTTGGCTAGGCAGGAAGACATTTTTTCAACTTACTGATCGCTGAGGAGCTGTGGATGGCAAATGCGATGTTGTCCTTCTCCAAACATCTGGGTGTTGTTTTGAGCTGACAGAGGATCCTCAGTAGCTGAAATTTGAAGTGTGGACTGAAAGGGCTGAGAGCACTGAAGGCACTTTTTGCTGGATGGTACTTCTTGGGTGGGAATCCATCTTGGAAAGTTGCATCCCTCTCCTCTGCCCTGGCTGCTGTCTGCAGTGGCTTGCTACCCAGTCAGCTGTAGACAGAGGGTTGAGTTTGTTTCAGTGGTGCTGTTTTCAGAACAATTCCCCAGTGGTTATTGTGGTACAGCTACGGGGTGATGCGCAGTAGCCTGGGGAGAGGAAGGTCTGATTTCATGATTTAACCCTGCCAAAGCAAACATGCTCTCTTGCTGCACCTGAGTCTTTCCTGCTTTGAGGCAGGGTGCACTATATCCAGTTTGTGTCTAAAAGGTTTTTCTCTAACATGTTCTTGCAACACTTGGGTGGTATCCTGTCCTAGCCTTTCATCGTGTCCGCAGCTGGAAAGCAGTTGTAACATCGAATTCCTCACTGCAATTTAAGCATGATAGGATGTGTATTTCTGCAGTAGCTAAGCAGGGGAATTAATGTCTACCCAACCTTTTATCTGTTGAATGGCTTACTATGGGCCACTTTTGATGTTAATCACAGCTGGAGCTTTGGGCATCACAGCTTCCATTTTGGAGATTTTGAAGGTTGAATTCTGAGAGTTTGAAGCATTCTTACAATGACTTTCACAGCAGGAACCTCTCTCCTTTGTTTTGGTCAAAAATGGCTGCTCTCTTCAAAATGGATTTTGTGTATCATCACAAATAACCCGGATGGAGTTTTCTGCAGGTGTTGAGACAAAACATTGAAGTTTGCCTGCTTTGAAATTTTGGGGAAGTTGAGACTTCTTGCCTGGACTTGGGGAAAAGGATTGTCTTTGCCATCTTGAAAGTTATCTTGGGATGGGAGTGGATTTTTTGACCTTGATACAGTTGGTAGCTGTAACAGTATGGAAAGCAGATGGGTAAGCTGCAGCACCCTGACATTCTCCCAAGGTGGTACCAGAGCATCAACACCTACTTCATGTCCAGTGGGACTTGTTGTTCACTTCAGTAACTGATTGCCAGTAAGTGGGTGGTGTAGGGATTAGAGAGAGCACCTCACTGTTCCTTTTCCAATGAAGAAATCCTCCAGGTCTATGAGACACTTGGAGAGGACTGGGAGATACTGCCTCAGAAATGTCCCTAACACTCAGGAGCTTGAGTAACAGAACCTGCACCATGCCCAACCTTCTGTGACAGTGTGCTGGTCCCCCAGTACCATCTCTGCTGTGGTGTTAAAGATCTGCACTCAGCAGAGTAATAGGGTCTCCTTCATATGGGCAGCGTGCCATTAAGCAGGTGAATAAGACTGCATGTTGTATACACTTCACACCCCCACATGTGTGTGCCCTTTTCTTAATTTAGTGTGAGTTTATATTTAACTGGATGGCTTCCTTCTTTTGAGTAGCAAATGCCTTGCTAGTGGTTGATCTTAATTTTTAATGACAGAGTTGGCAAAGAATATAACAATAATGTCCATATATATATATATATATATATATTGTGATGTAATCTAGATTAATGTATATTGAGATATAGTCATACATATGCACAGTGTGAAAAAGAAAAAATATAAAATTATTATAATCAAGGAGGGAACAGTTTAACAGCACATGGACAATACATTCCTTGTCTGGTTAAAATAGTTCGTCAAGACAGCATCTCTCTACGCACAGTGAAACAAATGCAAAGAATTACAGCTACTTTGGTGGCTTTTGGCTTGGACTCCTTATCATTGCTGCTGCTGTGGTGAGATGCCTTC